AAGCAGAGGGACCGCGGTTCAATCCCCCAGTACCACATGCCAGCCAGCCCCGCCCCCTGGTGGGCTGAGCTGGCCACATACACACACACACATAAATAAATAAAATTAAAAAAAAAAAAAAAGTCTGGGCATATAGCACAGACCCTAGGTTCGCTCTCCAATATTAATATAAAAACCTTAAGGGGCTGGGTTATAGACCAATGGAGTACTTACCTAACGTGTGTCCTAGATTTAATCCTCAGCACCACTGTGTAGAGCACCACCTTGGCACCAAACACTATTCTAGGCACTGTGAATGCAGCACTGACCAGCAAAACAATAATGCAGATCTGGAACTAAGTGCTTGGGTTCAAATCCAGCTCAGCCAGCGAGGAGCTGGGTGACTTGGGAGAGACCCATAGTAAAGGGACAGCGCACTCCATTTGCCCTTAAGGGCTGGCCTGTCGTGTGTTGGTGGGCGATGGCCTGTGGCAGCAACAGGCAGGACATGTTAGTGCTGGGGCACAGGACATGTCTGAGGAGGGCACAGAACAGCTGAGGTCAGAGAGGCAGAAGCCAGGCCACTGCAGGGACCTTTAGGCCACGTCACGAGACCTTGTCAGATTATTGTATGCAATGAATTGGGCCAGGCACAGAAAAGCAAGTCGCACTGACCTCACTCCTGCTGGGACGTAAGCAGATCCACGGAAGCTGGGAGCAGGCAGTGGTCCCCGGAGGAAGAGGGGGGCAGGTGGGGAGACAGGGGCAAAGGCTGAGGAGCAGTGCTGCTGTTAGCACATAGTGAGGCGACTAGCCAGCAACACACACTATGTATTTCAAAAAAGAAAGTTTTTATCATAAAGAAATGATCTCTATTTGGGGAGATCAATATTAACCTTAAATATGAATCAATGTATACGTGTGTCAGAACATTATATGGCACTACATTGCTATGTATTTTTATTTTTTCAAATTTTTTCAATTTAAAAAAAGGCCTTTAAAAAAAAAGGCCTTATCACATTGTAATTAAGAAATCTTAGATGAATGACCATTTTGTATCTGTGTATTCAAAATGGTTAGGATATATAGCTACATTCTCCTAATTCAATCAATAGAGTGATTTGTTCTAATAGTGTTTATAAATAGGTTATCATGTCTGCATCTTGTACAACAAATAACCACTAGGAAGACAGTATGGAATAAGGGTTTTTTTTTTTTTTTGCTCCGAATGCCCTTAGGGGTGGTTTGGCTGGCTGGAGTGTTGTGGGGAAAAGAATTTTTTTTTTTTTTTTTTTTTTTTTTTTTGGTGGAACCGGGGATTGAACTCAGGCCCTTGCGCTTGCCAGGCAGCGCTTATTCCACTGAGCCATCTCCCTGGCCCTTAGGAAGACAGTATGCAATGTGTTAATTATTGAAACTGTCTCATTGCTATTTGTTTCTCAATAAAATTATGGGAAAAAAAAGAAATCTTTTTTGGGGGCTGGGGAGATAGCTCAGAGGCATAAGCACCTACTTGGCAAGCACAAGGTCCCAAGTTTGATCCCCAGCCCAACATGCCATGCTGGCCCTAGAACTGGAATGTGGTGGGGCAAGCCAGTAATTTCAGCCCTTAACAAGGTTGAGACAGGAGGATCGCTGCAGTTTGAGACCAGCCAAGCCTGGCCCGAACTGCATAGTGAGACCCTGTCTTTTTTTTTTTTTTTTTTTAAACAGGTTCTCACTTAGTCACTAAGTAATCCAGGCTGGGCTTAGTTTGTGAACTTCCTGCCTCAGCTTCCTAGACAGCTGGGATTACAGGTGTGCTCTACTACACCTTCCATGTTGTAATTACTGTTTCCCTACCTATAGCACCCTGCACAAAGCAGGCCATGCAAGTATTTGTTAAACAAATAGGAGTTCTTCGTAATCAGACATACAATCATTTTGAAACCTTCAATAAAAATACATATTTATATATAGACCTCCCCTTTTATAGGTTAATAAAAAATAGTAATAGGGTTATAATCCATAATAGGATTGGGGGGCCGGGGAGATGGCTCAGTGGAATAAGCGCTTCCCTGGCAAGTGCAAGGGCCTGAGTTCAATCCCTGGTTCCGGGGAAAAAAAAAAACAAAACATAATAGGATTGGGAGCGGATTATCTGCTGTGCGTATTAGTCACAGCTCCTGCAAACTGACTACAGATGCTCCTTGGCTTACAGTGGGTTATGTTGTAATCAACCCATCATAAAGTATCATCGGTTGGAAGGTACTCAATACACCTACTCTACTGAACACCACAGCTCAACAAGCAAGTGTGCTGTGGGCTGACAGGGGCTCAGCCCCTATCCCCTTGGGGCGCACTAGGAGGGGGTGTGGCTCTGTCACTGCAGTCACAAGAGTATCACATCACGCATCGCTAGTCTGGGGAAAGAGCAAACTCTGAAGGGCAATTTCTACCCAATGCACCTTACTTTTGTACCATATTAAAATGAAAAAGTAGTAAATCACAGATCATCTATAGCTTGATACTTTTTTATTTTTGGTGGTGCTGGGGATCAAACCCAGGGAGGGCCTTGTGAGAGGTAAGAACTCTGCCACAGAGCCACATCCCAGCCCTGTAGCTTGATATTTTTTTTGTAACTTAATATTCCTTAATTAATTTATTATTTGGTACAGTGTCTCACTATGCAGCTGAGATTCACAGTAATCCTCCTGTGTCAGGCTCCCCAAGGGATCCTCAAACCTAGCCCACCCTCCATAACCTCCCCTCATTCTTTTTTTTTTTTTTTTTTTTTTCTCGGAACCAGGGATTGAACTCAGGCCCTTGCGCTTGCCAGGGAAGCGCTTATTCCACTGAGCCATCTCCCTGGCCCCCCTCCCCTCATTCTTGACCAACTTCATTTGCCAGCTTTGTTCAGATCAGATCTCTGGGACTGGAATACGTTTGACTAAAATCTTTCTCAGGACATGGTCCTTCAAAACTGTTCTAGGGAGACACCAGGATAATACTGACACCAGATTTTCACTCGCTTTTCATACTTCTGTTTTTGAGGTACCTGGTAGAACTGTAGAATGGTCATCTGGAATGAGAGCCTAAACTTGTTTTCTAAAAATTCTCCCCTTTTCTGACAACTTGAAGGCAGGCAAAGCCAGTATTCCCAGAAGGTGCTGACTGGAAGAACCTTGGATGGGGAGATAGTATGGAAATACACAGTTCATGGTCTGGTTGAGCCGCAGCCACAGGAGTGCGCCACCAGGCCCAGTTTTGGTGTCCGGCATGGCGCACCTGGGGTTCCAGGGCTGGCATGGTGTGCGGTACTGGGGACTGAGCCTGGGTCCCTGTGCTCGTCAGGCGGTGCTTAGACCACAGAGCTGTCGCTCTAGCCCTGTAGCTTATGCTTTCCTTAATAAGCATTTGTCTTCATTTAAAATAGCTTTTCTTTCTACCTGCTTGTTTATTTTTTGGTCTTTTTGAGATAGGGTTTCACTATACATTCAGGCTGGCCTTGAACTCACTTTGTAGCCCAGGTTAGCCTCAAACTTTCAGTGATCCTCCTGCCACAGCCTCCCAAGTGCTGGGATTACAGACTTGCGTCACCATACCTGGCTTCTACCTCCATTTTGGCTCAATTATTATAAGTGAGACTTCTTGGACACAAGAAATTACCTAAAACATATTTTGAAGTTTTCTCTTTTTTTTTCCCCAATACCAGGGATTGAACTCAGGACCTTTTGCTTGCCAGGCAAGCACTTGTTCTACTGAGCTATCTCCCCAGCCCTATTTTGAAGTCTTAAGTCTTTAGGTTTGTAACTGATAGCTGCTACTTTGTATTATGGAAAGAAAATATGAAAGTAATACTTTCCCACATAATAAAATACAAAAGTCAAGGTCACAAGCACATGCTGGTTGTCCCAACTGCTCAGGAGTTTAGGAATTTGAGACCAGCCTGGGCAACATAGTAAGACGCCACATCAAAAAATTATATATGGGGGCCCGGGAGATGGCTCAGTGGAATAAGCGCTTCCCTGGTAAGTGCAAGGGCCTGAGTTCAATCCCCGGTTCCACAAAAAACAACAAAAAAAAAAATAGTAATTTTTTTTCTCACACATGGGTAATTTAGAAGTGAATTTATACATAAAACACATTTTACTTAGCCAGGCATGGCAACATACTCCTGTAATCCCAGCACATGGGAGGCTGACTGTGAGTTCAAGTCTACCCTAAACTGCATAGTGAGACTCTGTCTCAAAAAGCAAAAACACAAACAGAAAGTTTACTTTAGATTTGTAAGATGTTTTGGGTTTGCCACTTGAGTGTGGAGCTCATTATCACGGACAATCTGTGGTCTAATACATAGCACGCCTTCATTTCTTTCTCTTCATGGGAAGGAGATAAAAGGTAACAGTGGCTGAGGAGGAGTCACCTGGGAGGACAGTGCTCATGGTTGATTCTCCCAACATCCCTGCGAGGTGAGGGTCTGTCACTCGGCTAACTTCAGTGAGAGGAGAGGCAGCAATGAGGAAGCACTGACTGCAGGGTAATGATACTGAGCACTGAAAGAAAATGCTCTGCAAGTTTAACAGACTGCATTGTTCAGTTTGTCCATTTTTGGTGCTCCTGACTGAGAAGTTTTCACTTCAGAACACTGGTGCTGACTGGGGTTTGGCCATTCACTACATGCCAGAACGACCGTCTGAGGAGCAAACTCGTGGGCTTTGGCTGGACCTGTGACAGGAGTGTGAATGGCACCCACAGAGCTGACTCCAGAAGCATGCACGTGCCCCTCAGAAGTGCATGCAGTTCACCCTCTCTCTCCTTTTTCCCTTTAGGGCATCCAGTTCTACACACAGCTCAAGACCATCACTTCTCAGTGGAAAGAAGAGGACGCCACCCTCTCCTCACCTGCTGTGGTCATGCCAACCATGGGCCGTTAGGAACGCGTTCCTCACACCCAGCTCACCCTCCATAACCTCCCCTCACTCTTCACCAACTTCATTTGCCAGCTTTGTTCAGATCAGATCTCTGGGACTGGAATACGTTTGACTAAAATCTTTCTCAGGACATGGTCCTTCAAAACTGTTCTAGGGAGACACCAGGATAATACTGACACCAGATTTTCACTCGCTTTTCATACTTCTGTTTTTGAGGTACCTGGTAGAACTGTAGAATGGTCATCTGGAATGAGAGCCTAAACTTGTTTTCTAAAAATTCTCCCCTTTTCTGACAACTTGAAGGCAGGCAAAGCCAGTATTCCCAGAAGGTGCTGACTGGAAGAACCTTGGATGGGGAGATAGTATGGAAATACACAGTTCATGGTCTGGTTGAGCCGCAGCCAGCCCGCCACCAGTGCCAGCGGGAGAGGCCCTTGGGCCAGGTTTTCCTGAGCCTCTTCCTCATTCTGTGCTACGTAGATGTAATCTACTTCTACATGCCCAGTATTGTGACGGCTGCTCCTTTTTTGCTCAGTGCCACTTGTCCTTGTGATTCATGATCACTGTTTAATCCTGTCATTGTCCCTGTTCCTAATTCTTAAAGTCACTTCTTAAGAATACCTCAGTATTCAATGAATAAAACAATTTTTTATTCTGTGTGCCAAATGTTAAATTTCAGGGGTTGCTGCAAATCCTTAATCAATGCCTCAGCCATTAATCTGGATGCAAGTAGTTTTCTTGGCTATTTCAAGTTAGACAGATTGAGCATTTTAACCATGAACGTGGCTAAGACACTTACCTAAAGCAAGTCTAACCTGCTATTATTTGCCAAATTTTATATATTATTTTCTCTTGCTTGAATTTTTCATTAAGGATAATTTTTTTTTCTTTTTCATTAGTGTTACTGACTGGGACACTAATTTTCTTAGGAAATTTCAGAAATTTTCATTACATACAGTAAATAAACATTTTAACAGTCTTCTGCTCTTAATTCAGGTGACACCTAAACTTTAGGTCAGAACAAACTCTGACGTGCTGAGCAGAGCGGATGTTTGTGCCCCATCCCAGCTGAGTCCAGCTCTCTGGGTCAGGAGGCTGCCAGCTGCGGTGGCCTCTGCTCAGCCACACAGTACCGGTCGTCTGTCCTGTGGGCAGTGCTGCCCTCTGGGAGTACTGGGGGAGCTAGGGGTGCAAACCCTGCCAGGTCGCACTCAGCCTCACTCCTGCCGTCGTCTGTTGGATACTGTCAGAATATTCAGTCTAATAAGGGATCGAAAATTTAACAAAACACACTTGCAAGCCTGCAGAGTCTGGGTTTTTGTTTTGTTTCGTGTCTCTGCTTCCTAAAGGCGAGGGAATAGAAATTATAGTTTGAGAATACAATGCCCCCTTTTCATCTGTTACAAAACACAGCAAATGCTTAATCTAACAAGTCCAGGCTGGGCTGAATGAAAAGTAGCTGTCTAAATTCCAGGTGGAATTAAATATAATCACAGGGACTCCTAACATTCTCCTTGTATTTAAGGGAAAACACTTTTTAGAATACTGTTTTAGTATAATTAGAATCAGCTCATTTGGCTAGCCACGTGCTACTCAGAACAGTTTATTTCTTCTTAGAAAAAAAAATTATTTACATTTATAGTAGTACCATCTAAAAATTCAGTATTTTCTTTTTTAATCTGATATAGCTTCATTTGAACTTTCTTGGATTCTACATTGTTTAATTAAAAATGAATAACAAATTATAAATAAAAAGCACTTAAAGAGAAGAAGAGCTGGCTGTGTGTTCTCACTGGCATAGACTTCTCTAAGGCCCCGGGTCTGCAAGGTTTCAGACCATGTTTCCTACCTCTGTGCACAGCAGCATTATACGGCCCTTGCGTTTGTGCTTATGTCAGCGACAGTGGGACTAGGGTTACAGCGCAGTGCTACAGTGCTTGGCTGGCAGTGCAAAGCCCTGCGCTTGATCTGAAGCACCAAGAAAGAAAAAAACGCTGGGCACGGTGCTACACACCTATAATCCCAGCACTCGGGAAGCTGAGGCAAGAGGATTGCTGTGCGTTTGAGGCCAGCCTGGGCTTACAAAATGAGTTTCAGGCCAGCCTGAACTGCATAGTGACACCCTCTCTCAAAAAGACAAGGAGGGGCTAGGGAGATAGCTTGGCAGCATAAGTGCCCGCCTGGCAAGAAAAGACTCAAGTTTGATCCCCAGTGCTGCATGCCCTGCCAGCGCCAGAACCCTGGGCACACTGCCCTGAAACTGGGCGTGGTGATGCACGCCTGTAATCCCAGCACTGGGGAAGCTAAGACAGGATCACTAAGAACTGTGTAGCGAGACCCTGTATCAAATAAATAATAAATAATTTTTTTTTAAAAAAAGATAAGGGAAAGGAAAGAAGGGAGAACAAATATATTTGGCTAGACTGCTCATCTATCTTTCTATTTTGGGGTGTGTGTGCATGTGTATTTCCCGCACTAACAGAGGTACAAAGATGCACTTGCATTGCGTGCGATGTGCCTTCAGGGTGGATTGGTTACAAAGCTTTCCATGACCTCATAGCAGTCTACCTGCTACTCCTTCCAGTGGTACCTGAGACTCCTCGGTGGCTAGCAAAGAACTGTAAACTAGCAAAAACCTGCATAGAGGAGAGTAACAGTGGTGGAGGGTAACAGTGGTGTTATCTGATTAACTTTTTTTGTGGGGGTCCCAGGAATCAAACTTAGGTCCTTGAGCTTGCCAAGCAGGTGCTTGTGCTGCTGAGCTATCTCCCCTCGTGCTATCTGATAGAGAAACGCTCCTTACCATGTTGGACTCTTGGGATCCTTTCAGAATGCCAGATGGTGCCATTTCAGAGTCTGAGATTGGAACTTGCTGAGTGATGAAGGTTTGATCTTGAAGCTTACTTTCCTCTTCAGCTGCACGGCCTTGAAGCTTACTTTCATCTGTTTGATCTTGAAACTCAACTTCAGCTGTCTGATCTGGAAGCTTTCTTTCTTTCCTGCAATAGACAAAATGACAGTTCTATCAACGACCATACATGGAACTTGGTGCAGAACAACACTTGTCATATTATGCTCCATCAATTCTAGCACGGTATGGTGCCCACAGAACCATCCGGTCAGGCTCACACTCATGGACTTGGCAAGAAAGCACTTCCCCAAATTCCTTCTTTTTTCCAAGGTCAGAAACAACGTAGTCTGCACCTGGAGGCCTAGAACTCCGGCCTTATTTTCTGTTGTAGGCAGAAGTCAACCAACACACTAAGGCACTGTCTTCTTTGCCCCGTATTTACACCCTTAAAGTGTTAAGCAAAATCTTTTGGTTGGATGAACTTATTTTCAAAATAAACTTTTACACAATCATTGATGCAGTGTGTTAAGCAAGTTAATAATATTCACTTAAAACTGAGACGTGTTGACAGGCATATATGCCTGTAATCCCAGGTACTTGGGAAGCGGAAGCAAGACAATCACAAGTCACAAGTCACAAATTGAAGACAAGTCTGGGAAATGTACTGATTTTTTAAAAGTGAAAGAAAAAAAAAAGGAGATGGATGTAACTAAATGTTCCCTGGGTTCAGTCCCCACTACTGCAAAAACAAAAACAAGTTGCAACATGTCAAACTCAAACACTTATGAAGATGACAAGAATGAAGGCACTCACACACTCTGCTATAAAGAAAGATAAGCGAGTCATTTTAAGGTAAAGGATGCACCTCAAGACTATAACCTAAAGAGAAATAAGGGCCGGCCAGATAGCTCAGCCGATTCAAGCACCTGCTTAGGCAGACGCAGGGACCGGAGTTCAATTCCCACATGCTGTACGCTGTACTGGTGAGATGGTGACTGAGCCTGGGTGTGGTAGCACACACCTGTAATCCCAGCGCTTGGAAGGCTAAATACAGGAGGATCACTATGAGTCCGATCTCTGTAGTGAGACCCTGCAGACTCTGTACTAAATACAAAAAAAAAAAAAAAAAAAACTTCATTAAAAAATAAAAATGAAATAAGCCAGACATACAAGTTTAAATATCACATGGTTTCTCTTGTATGAGAACCCAAAGGATAAATAAAGAACAAAAATGAAGGATAGATACTGGAAAGTAGAAAGACCACGTTCAAAATGAAGGGAAACAAGAAAGGATTTGTTTATTTATTTTCTTTATTTAAGAGAGAATATTTTTAAAAAAGAAGGAAAATCTGGGTGTGGCAGAGCATGCCTGTATTTTCAGCACTCAGGAGGCTGAGGTAGGGAGATCATTACAAGTTTGAGACCAGCCTGGGCTATAAAGGGTGCTCAAGGCCAGCCTGAACTGCACAGCAAGACTGTCTCAAAAAGACCAAAGAAAAAAAGGAGGGAAAAATGGAAACAAAGCTTTCATAAATGGGAAAAGAGAAAAAGATGAAGGGAGGGGAGTGGGAAGAAAAAGAGCTAAGACAAGTACAGATACAAATCCCTTAGGATGAATGTGATTACTATGCACGGCAAACATTCACTAATAAGAATTTTCACAATAAGGTACGCAGGGCCAGGGTTCATCCCTGGCTCCACATGCCGCGCTGGCCCGCCTCCGGGTGAGCCGAGCCTGCGATGGAGTCCGGGCGCGGCGGCTGCGCGCCTGCAATCCCAACACTTAGGAGGCAGAAATCAGGAGGATCGCTACTAATGTGGGCTATGTAGTGAGACCCTGAACAAGAACAAAAAATAAAAAATAAAAGAAACAAAAAATAAGGTACACGACAGCTATTAGTGATGACAGAGTTGAACCAGATTATTAACCAAAATACAAAGAAAAGCTCTTTCCCCCCAAACCATCAGAATACAATGGAGATAGGCCCAGCAGGAAGATTTCTCTTTATGATTTAGAAGGGATGGGTTTAAGGACAAAAAATAAATGCATGACTAATTTAGAGATAAAAAGTATAATATACTGATCTGCTGAGATGTAATGACACCTACCTCACCCCTACACTTGTCTTCAATTAGATGCCACGGCAGCAGCGTAAACCCACTGAAAATGGACATTAGACTCTAGCAGAGCTTTACTGCTTCCTTTAGCCAATCATTGGTCACACCCCTTAGATCAACCACAGAGATACTGCACTGTTAGGCTCAAAATCTCACAGCATTAATTGAACTCTGACCAACTTCCTAATCACCCCGTTTCAGTAGACCTTCTACCACAGCGGTACCTCAGTTTACCAATTTGTTCTACAGCTCTGGAGAAAATTCCTGCATGTGTGTTTGTGTGGGGAAGCTGGCATGGTCACCTGATGCAGTTTGTGAATGGAAGAAAATGTTTTGAGCACTTTCATGAGTTGAAGTGTTTGCAGACCCGACTGTTCATGAGCTGAGGTACTGCTATACCTAGCTTCTCCCCAGTCTGAGCTTTCTCACTTACTCTACTCCTATCTATCCCTTCTCGCTGTCCAGTTTGGCATGCAAGTTGAGCAGGCTTAGACACCACCTCACTGTGAGTCAGGTTCAAGTTCACTGTGTTGGTGTAACCACCTTACTCCAGGTTCTTTCACCCCAAGGTGGAAGTAGCAGTTTGGAACCTAGGCCTGCAACTTTGGAGTCCTGAAACCCTGGCTGCTTCCTGGGGTGCAGAAACACTAGCTCACCACGAGAGGATCGGTACCTCATCTGGAATCTAGCTTCACCTCTACTCTGGGGAAGACTACCAGTATCAAAGAGCATTTCAAAGTCCTTCCCTTACCCAGCGGTTCTTTCGGCTCTTCCCCTTCGCTTGTCTTCTTCTCTCCGCTGTTTCCACTGCAGCTACTCCAGAGGACTCACCTCCCTGCTCTCTGTGTCCCCCACACCAAGTCCCAGTTTCCACTGAGCAATGGTCACCCCACTCTCCTCAAGCTCCTGAAGAAGTGAATCCACAAATGCCTATCCTTCACTTCCATCTACAGTACTGACCATCGTGCCCTCATCAAGATTCATATCGCAAACCTCACTATTTGTCTTGCCTGGAATGTTCTTTTTTTTCACTTTTTTGTTCCCAATTACCTTTTAGAAATCAAATCAAGCTTTCACGTCTTCTAAAGTTCTGACTCCCCAATGAGGTCAGACTAAAGGCTTTTTTACCACTGTATCTTCTATATGTATTTCTATGATAATTTGAATAACTTTTTCCCATAAAATAGTTCTATGAACCATAAACTCCCTAAGATCATGCATGATATCTTCATTTTCTCA